TGAGGACATATACAGGCACCTACTACGCTCCCTCATTTCCAAAAAGCTGTCACCACCAAACTCCTAATAAAAAATTAGCAAATGGTGGTGAGAGAATTCAGGGTACTGACATAACTTAAATGTCATGATATATTGGTTGGGAAACTGAAATGCCCACAAAGGCTGCCATAGGGAGAAGCATCTAGATAAACCATAAACTGAGCAACTGGTCCTTGAATAATTTGGCAGTTGACTTTAAATGTATTCTGTTTCCCAGCTGGGAATTTATGGTGATATAAAAAAAATAAAATAAAATAAAGACAAGGATATCAAAAGGCCATCTTGTTTCCACCTTTAGAAAAGGTGGACAGCATCAGACATAGTATAAAGGATCTAAATTTCTGTTTTTAGTTCTGCCAGTTACTTATGGCATGACTTGAAACATGTTTTTTCACCTCTTATCATCCTGGCCTGTAAAAGTAGGTGAAGGAGATTTATTACTTGACCTGACGAATGTTGGGAGAAGAAACTAAAGAAATGAGTGGTTAAAATTTTTCTTCTGCCCAAAATTTCCAACCTGTTCCAGTAAAGTTAACCCTGATAACATGGGGGCAAAACAATGGTATCTTGCCCTAAAATATAAAGAAAGTTAAGTTTGGTGTATTTCCAAGGTGCTTAAGAGAAAAAAAGCAAGAAGTACAAACTAGTAGTATGCTGTAGTTTAGTTTTATCCCTACCACATTACCATTCTTCACACTCAGGCAAGACAAGTTGTCTGCCTCAGCTTTAGGCTAATTTCTCTTTCCCCTGGACTACCTCTACTTGCACCTTGTCTTCTCCCCAGAGATCAGTCTAATGTGAGGCGGATGCATACTGCAGTAAAGCTGAATGAGGTGATTGTCAACAAGTCCCATGAAGCAAAGTTGGTATTACTGAACATGCCAGGGCCACCCCGAAACCCTGAAGGTGATGAGAATTGTATCCTTTCCAAGATTTATGAATTTTTCCCTTGGACATAGAATGGCTAGGTGACTATAAAAAATAATTTAGTCCACCCCAAATTTCCCTCTCTGTACAAGGTAATTGAAAGTATTTTGAAATCCACAGAAGTGAAGCCAGATATCCTTCATGACTTTTAAAACTGCTAAACAAGGACTTTCATAAGGTGAAGATTTTCTGGGATAGATTTCATTTTTTCATCTGGATCCCTATCCTATCCTATCCAATTACTCTTAAACAGGTCTTCTTCCAGTAATCTTTCTTATAGATAAAGCTTTCTATATGAAGGTTTTTTTCCACATCTACAAACAAGGGCCAGTTTGGGATGGATACCCTGTGGGGCTGCAAAGTGTATTGATCCCTTTACCTACCAGTTCAACTCACAGGGAGGAGGAAGCAAGAAGAGCTGTTGGTGGGGAAGGGGAAGTGATAGAAATCATGTCAATCAATCAACCTCGGAAACCCTTGTAGAAACAAATATTGGAGGCTTATGTGTCAGTGGACTTCTGCTTCTTGTCATAGCTGCTTTAGGGTGAATATGAAAGTACAACATGGGTTAATCCACGACTATTGAGATTTCCAAAACATATCTCTTGTGTAAAATGGGAAGGGATATCCAGTATGGGATATAATGGTACTAGGTTCCTGAATTGTTTTTGCATAGGACCAAATTGGATCCAAAGTTCAGTCTCCCTCTTTAATCCTAGGCTGTAAACCATGTCTTAATGCTTGTTTTTAAATTCTGTGAAGACAAAAAGCCTTTGGGTGTCAAGATGCAAAGCTGAATGTGTTAGTGTTCTGGCTCTGATTGACTCCTTGACACATGTGTATAGATATGGAATTCCTGGAGGTGCTTACAGAAGGGCTAGAGCGTGTTCTCCTTGTACGAGGAGGCGGCAGTGAAGTGATCACCATCTACTCCTAACTGTACCTGATCTGTTTTGCTTTTTCCAACCCTCCTCACAGGTTTCAATTCTCCACAAAAATCTCAGATGATCTGGCACTTTATTTGCTGCCATTCCCACTGGACTAGAGGGCTGTTTTCTGTATACGTGATGCTGAACTTTTGCGGAGCTGAGCCTCAAGACCTCCTCTGTCCCTGTACTTTAGTGCAAAGGGAATTGGAGGTGCCCTTCTTCCCACTTGACCCTCATCCTTCCTCTAAAAGAAGCAAGTCAAATGAGATGTGTGTAAAATACTTTGTGACTAGAAAGCAGGACCTAAATGTGAGTTACTCCCTCATCGTCAGTGGAACCTAAAAATCTTGTCATTGCCCACTTTAGTGTACATCATAACCAGAAAAGAAAGAGATGAGGCAGAAAGGAGCCAGGATCAAAGGGTAAATTTAAATAGGAGAGGAGGCACAGTCATTTTGCTTTGGGCAAGACTGAAGCTGCAAGATGAATCTCAGAAACCTTTACTCAATTGTGATCTCCTGCAGAAACTCTGAACTCCAGGATGTTTATTCCAAGGATGATGCTCAGAGAAGTGTAACAACATTCCAACCAAAAAATCTACAGCCACAAGTATATGGCAACCCAGTCTCTCTGTAACAAACCCATATGGAAAACTTTCTCAGCTCATCTTCAGTGAGCTTGCCTTCCAAGTACCTCATTCTATATTGTGGTACTACAAAGAATGAAACTAACCTATACACAAAGCCCTTTCTGCAAGAACTTAGAAACCTATCCCCAATAGATGCTGCTCTTTAGTCTGATCCCAGGTTAAAGCATGTGTGTACATTGTATGTACATTGAATGTTTCATGTTTCCCAAATTCAGCCCATTCCATGGTGTTATGTAAGGCAATGTTACACTGGAAATTACTTTTTTTTAAAGGGAGTGTTGTCTAGGTGATTGAATTATTCATGCAAACCCCAGCTAGCTTGCTCAGAATGACACAACTATTGTCCATGGATACCTATAGGTGAGTGACTTGGGCAAAATAAACTGGATGTCAGTAATGAGAAATTTATTGGGCTTATCTCCCCTTTCCTCCCATCCTCTGTATAGTAGGCACAAAGCAAACAGGGAGACTGGCTCATCTGCCCTAAAGATAATTAGATCACTTAAAATAAGGTGGACTTATATTCTGAGGGTGAATTTAGCAATGGAATTGAAAGTTCTGGTGCCATACCTTAATTCACAGTGCCAAAGTCACTGAGTTGCTAAATTCCCTTCCTTCCTCCTTAATGTGACTCAATATGAATTGGCATTGGCCTTGCTTAAGAAATTCCAGGTTTTTTCATTTTGTGGCCTGGTTTTTGGAGTTGAGATGAAGTGAGAGAAGTTGATAGCACTGCACAGACAATTTAAGAAATGAGGTTTTTGTTTGGTTTTGTTTTAGGGTGGGAGGTGGGGGAGGGCATTGCCCTTTCCCTCAATTTCCTCCTTTAGTCTGTAAAGACCTGGCTCTGGACTCAGAGGTCAGTCAGAAGCCTTGTGATTGCCAATTTCCTTTGCATTCTCAGAATGCTATGAAGGACTGGACTGAGGGGGTAATTTTACAAGTTAAATGTTCTTTCCTTTTTTTTTTTTGCCAATCACCAAGATATTGCTTCCAGGCATAGGAAATCTTTGCCTTATATGGCTGTGGCAGTAATTTCAGACATCTGAAGTTAGCCTGAAATCTTTCTATTAGAGAAAGATTCACGTATAGGGACCACGCCACCTTGCCTAGACCCATGGCCACTTGGTGGACTCAGCTGCTACTTGACTAAACTGAAAATAGTTATAATTTCTCTTCCTTCTTTACTCAGTAGCATTTGAAATGAGCCCTTTTAGATTTGATTCAACTAGTTCCATGGACAGAGAAGGCAACCATTCAGTATAACTAAAGAAAACCATTAGTAGCCACAAACAAATTAGAATAGTGAAAAATGAATCAAATTTAATTCCTGTCTTTCTTGGACAGAAGAAGCTCCAGTTTCTTCTTCTAAGGTGTCAGGAAAACACCTTGTTTATAGCTTGTGTTGTATCTTCTATTCCTTGTTTCCCTCTACCAATTTCCTTTTTATGGTGTGGACTAGAGTTTAATACCAGAAGAAGATTCCCTCCTTGCTCTGCCTAAGAGCCTAGACGTTGCAACCTGATACTCCAAAAAATCATTTCATCTCCTGGTGGGCTTTTTAGTTTCTCTGAGCAGCACCCTCAGCTCCAAAAGTGTGATATTTTTAGAGGTTAGGTAGATTAAGTTAAATGTAATGTAGACAGAAAAATGAAAGGTTTGAAGGGAATTCTCCCATAAGTTTATAATCAGAATATTTTAAAGGGGTGAGGGAACTGGAGGTTATTTGTATAGTCCCTCTGCCTCTATCTATTTTTTTTTTTAATCACTGTTACATGGCAGAGTATTGTCCCCTGCCCAAACTCTCACTCCCATTTCTGTGTAGGTCACTGTATATGAGTGTATTTTGTCTCTTGTGTCTAAAGTGTCTCTCAATCATTGCAAAGGAGAGCAATACTGAAAACTCAACAAGAGAATGCACCTTAGGGAAGGGGGCTGTCTGCTTTCACAGAGGTAAGGGAGAGGAAGAACCTTCTACCTTTGGGACAAGATCAAATTTGGAGATTTAGCCATAATATTCCCAGGGAGTGTAGTGTCAAACATCCTCTTGCTATTGGTCTATGCCTTCACTAACTGGATTAAAAAATCATACTGAGGCCAGTCTTTTAGCAGGGGAAAGATCACTACTTCATATTCATATATGCCTCACAGCTTCCTGAGGCAGCTGGGGACTGCCTCTCCCTAAGGAACTCATTCCCTACCCTGTGATGGATTAAGCACAGTCACCTTCCTCTGTCCCCAAGTTACAACAATATGGCAGGTAAAAAATGCCCAGGTTCAGTCTGGTATTAACAATTATTTTTTCTTTTTTTTCCTTGTCATCATGTAGAATCTGAAGCTAGTATTAGTTTCTCAAATCTGCCACAAGTGTCTCCAGCAGTATTTGTCCCCTTTAATATCATTTAGAGGTAGAACCTTTATTTTAAGGAAAACGGATTTAAGGGAACTCATGCAACTTTTGTTTTCTTTTCCAAGAGCCGTTCTGAGCAGTTTAATTTATTGAGAGGAGAGGCTGAAGCAGCCATTCTTTTGTTTACATGGAATTACGGTTTTGATTGTTGTTTTTGCTCTGTATTGGAAACATAAATAAAGTTTTTTACATTATTTTCAGCCAGGAGTATCTCTGTAGTTTTTCTTTGTTGGTACTCTAATCCTATTAGCTTTGTTCTTTTTTACCTTTGAGAAGAGAAGTTTTTTGATTCTTCTTTTCAGCACAGGAGACCTTTGCAGAACAGAACAGACTAAAGTGTTACTGAGAAGGGACTAGTGACAAAAATCAAATGGGATCCAAGTGTGAGAGGGGCACCAATTCACGTTTTCCCTTCATTATAAGAGTAGCCCACCACCACTGAATTCCATTCTCTGAAAAGAAAGAAGAAAATGGTAAAGGTCATAGTGTAGCCTCTCACTGAGTCCCTTTAATCTTTCACTCCAAGCTCTCCTGCCTTCCACCTTTGCTTTCCACTCAAACATTTTCTGAAGCTCCTTATGTACCTTATCTCCTAAGTCTGGTTTTCTAACACAAACCCCACCTTCTCACAAATAAGGTAGATGACCCAGTCAGCTGTTGATTACATCTCAACCTAGGCAAATTTAAATTTCTACTTTTTGCCTTACCTCAGGGGGTTCAATGAAAGCCAACCAGTCTGATGCATGAGTAGGCAGCAGCCCCATGGACTGGCACTTATAGACAGCTAAAGCCAACCCCATGAGGTTCCCAATGAGATAGACCAAGCCCTGGAGGAACTTCTGGCTTGAACTTTCCAGCATCTTGAAAGCTGCAATGGCAATGAGAGGTATCAGGATAGATCCAAGGCAACCACAGATTAATACAATACATACAAGAACATACTAAGACTAGGCCATTTACTGAGGAACTGATGATTAAAGAAAAAAGAAAAACTCAAATATAAGCAATTTAGCTTCACTTCTCACTAACAAAGGACTTTGTAAGAAATTACTTCAATGGGGATATCCCCTAATGAACTGGCTTTTGGTCCCCAAACACTGGGGAAAACATGTGCCTCCTACATTCTGGGGAAGACAGACTGTGGTTCCCTCTGTGGTAAAGCTGCTTGAAAAGACAATGCATACTTTGCTAGCACCAAGAATACTTACTGGCTGAAATGGCCATAAGTGCTTGAATGGGCCGCCAGGCCATCATACACACCATCATGGTGGGGAAGATGGAGATAGTGTTGCCTGCCATATACATGATGAAAAGGTTCATAGGGATCTGTTTGAGGGGACCCAGGGCGATGTCCCAGCAACGCTAGAGGAAACATATGATTATTTCACTTCAATCACTACACATCCCCACTACCAATTATGGCTGGTTACCTTCACCAAGGTTTGTCAGCAGAATGTCTTTTTAAATTTGTTTTCTGCTGCCATTTGAGAATCTCTCATCCAAAGATTAGAAAACAGGAGTGAGATGCCTGCTTATTAAAATTTTTACGCTGTCTTCCAAGGGGTTATCCAGGTACCATTTTCTCCAGCATCTACCAGGGCAGGAAAGAGATGGATTTTGTCCTCCCTATCCCTGTCCCCTTCTGTCCCAAGCGTTGTCTCTAAAAGGTCCAAGGTTTTACTTTGTAGGTCCTTTGTCTTTAAAGAGATACTCTTTCCACCACCAAAGAAGGGTAGAGCTCAAAGGTTTCAAAGGCACTGATCACCTATTTATATCTCTGTACCTTTTCTACCAGGATCCGGTCTGTTTCCTGGACGCTGGTATCTGGCACTTGCTTGTCCAGGTAACCCACTGGATACATGGAATCTCCCTGGCCTCCTCCCCGGTCACTTCGGCCCCTAAAGAATCAGACCAAGAAGCAGAGGCTAAGGGTTTCCCAACTTCATCTCCCAAAATCCCCCTCCCCCCAAAAAACCTGCCCTTTTCTCTAACTTCTTTAGCATTACCATCTTCCCAGTCACTCATACTCACAATTTTGAACCATTTGTAAAAGGAAGGGTTTAAGACTAGATGGCATCTGAAGTCCCTTCACAGTCCTAATCTATGACAACTGAATCTTCAGTTATCATGCGCTTTCTTTGTGCCAGACACTGTGTTAGATGCTGGACATAAAAGTATAAAACAACCACTGCTTGCAAGGAGCTTATGTTTTAACAAGTACACATAAAAACAGACATAATATAAAGACAAATATATAGAGAGAGTGGTTAAGTACAAGGTAGTTTGAGAGGGAGGGTACTAGCTGGTGGGGAAATAAGGAAAGGTTAAATCCAAAAGATGATTCTTGAGCTTCATCTTCAAGGAAGGGAGGGACTCAGAGGAGGTAAGGAGGGAGTACATGCCAGGTATGTAAGACATTCAGTGCAAAAGCACCAGGATCGGAGATAGTATATCCTGTGTGAACAGAGAAAAGTCCAGTTTGGCTGAATTGTATAGTGGAGGAGGAGGAGTAATGCCCACTAAATCTGGACTTTGTAGTTTGTAGAGAAGTCTCAAAAGTTTATAGTTTATCTTAGAGGTAATAGGAAGTCCTAGAAGCTGATTAAGTTGGGGAGTCACATGGTCAGATCTATGTTTAAAGAAATTAATCTGGCATCAGTGGGTTGGACTGTAGTTGGAAAAGACTTAAGGCTACAAGAGGTGAGTACTTTCTGAACTAAGGTGGTGCAGTCCTGTTGATTTTACCTCAAAATCTCATGTTTGTCCCCTATACTCCACTGGGACAGCAAGCTTCCTACCCTCCAGCCTATCCTCTCTCAGGTTTGTTCTTCTCATCAATGGAATAAGTAATAATCTTCTTAATTCACAGCTCTGATTACATTACACTTCTGCCCCAAATACCTTAGTAGTTCTCTACTATCTACCTAATAAAGTTTAAACTCCTGATTCATCTCCCTGCCTCAGGTCTCTTCCACACTCCATTTTGTCCTCCACTTGGGGGCCAAAAGAATTTTTCTAAAGCACATCAACCTCCTATTCAATAAACTCCAGTGACTCCCTATTGCCCCCAGGATAAAATGCTCTATTTGACATTTAATTTCGCATTTCACAGCCTGGCCCCTTCCTATCTTTCTAGTCTTCTTACCCTTTGCTTCCTCCATATACTATGATGCAGGGACATTGGCTGACTTCCTCACAGGTAACACTCCATCTCCTGACTCCATGCCTTTTCAGTGGCTGACCCCTGGGCCTAGAATGCTCTCTGCCTCTTGACTTCCCTGGCTTCCTTCAAGCCTTAGCTCAAAACCCACCTTCTGCAAGAAATCTTCCCTCTGTGCCTCCAATTTACAAGTAAATAATGTAGATAATGGTTTATATGTTCTCTCTCACATCAGAACTTGAGTTCCTTAAGGACAAAAACTGGAGGTTTTTTTGCCTTTCTTTGTAGTCCTAGTGGTTAAAGTACCTAGCATATAGTAAGCCCATAATAAATTATTAGAGACTGACTAGCAATCAAGCCCTTCTACAATCTGGCTCCCTGCCAGCTGTTTTGCTTTATTTCATCTCCCTGTTTCACCTGAACTGGACTACTGTCACCTGTTCTTAACCTGTCCCCCATGCCTCGAATGGGCTCTTGTGGCAGGCACACAGTAGGCTCTTAATAAATATGTATTGCTTTCATTGATTTATCTTGTCCCATTCAATCTCCATCAATTGAGAGCCGCCTTTCCTTCTGGGTCCGGGAGATGCCACTTCCCTGAGGCCTTCCCAGGACGCTCGCTTAGGGGCTCCTCCCTCCTCCAAAGTCTCTGACTACGTAGCCTGTCGGGGTGTCCCTCTTTCCTGTCACACTAGGGTGGCGTGGGTGCGTGCAGGTGTGTCTGCCTCCTACTCGGTAAGCTCCCATCAAGCAAGGGCTGTGAGGCATCTGTACCCCCGGGGCATATGTAACACGGGGCCATGGACTCAGCGGGCGCTTAATAACCTCTATGCCCCTTTCCGGAGGCTGCCCCGGCTGGCAGGGAATGAGCCTTTCCCGTCCTGCCCTCGTCCCCGGACCCGTTCGCGCCTCACCTGCTGCCTCCTCCAGGGCCGCTCAGCTCAATGGCCCATTTGAAACGGCGGCCTCGGTTCGCCACCAAACTTGCCTGGGTTGTCATGGCAACGGCTGCCTCCTAACGCCGCGGAGAAGGAAGCGGACCCAGACTGCTTAGCTTCCCGGGACGCACCGGAGACCCCAACCGCCCTCCACCGGAGACAGCCCCAGATCCCGAGAGCGCGACCCCGCAAAGCCCCGGCCACCCCTCCCAAACAGCACTTCCGGGTCATCTGGATGACGTCATTTCTGGTCCTGCTCAAGCCCGGAGTCCGGAGGGTCGGATTGAGCATGCGTAGGAGGGAGAACAAGAGGGCGGGGCCTGGAGCTTATTGAGGGGATGGACGTTTTTACCTTGCGGCGTCTGATCCTGTCCTCCCTCCCACCCTCACTGTCCCCGTCCACCCCTGCTCCGCCCCCACATTCACCACAACCCCTTCTCCCTCTATCCCCTCTCCATCCCACCTTCCCCTCCACCCCTCCCTCCCTCATTCTCTCCTCCCTCAATTCCACCCCCAGTCCACACCCCCTGCCCCACTTTCCCCCAAGCCTTCCCGCTTTGTGCCCTCGTACTCTGCAGGTTCTGGCTGCTCTGCCTTCCGCTCTCCCACCTGTCACAGTTAGGCGTCAACCAGCCATTTCTGGTCACTTGCAGGCTTAGGGGTGGGGAATGGAGCAGAAATCTGCTAAGAAAAGCTTTGTGTGTACGAAGATACAGTGGCTGCCTTACGTATGCTATGCAGTTAGTAGGTGAATATTGATTCCTTCCAGGTGCCCTTTCAGTGTACCCTCACCGTTCAGTCAGTCAGTCAGTAAACGCTAAGGCCCTCCCATGTGTCAGGCACTGTGCTAAGAGCTGGGGATACAAATAGGAAAAAGAAAACCTACCCTCAAGAAGCGAAAAGGAGGGGTGGGGTGGGGGCCCAACTCAGGGGCATTACGAAGAAATCCGAAGTAGTGCTATCAGGTGGGAAACAAAAAGATAGATGACCTGGGGCCCTCCTTAAATAAAGATTTGGGGAGAACTCTTCGATCCACGTCCCATTTAGAGGTCCGGGGGTAGAAGATACTGAAGAGCTGTGAATACCAAGGCTGAGGGTCTGGAGCAAGGGAGAGACCTGAGGGGACCCCACTGCTGCTCCCCCCACCCCTGCCCCAAACTGGTCTCCTCTTTTCCCTTAACCCCCGCAGTCGCCATCCCTAATGGGGACCAGTCAGATTTGTAGTGGAGCCAGTCAACATAGTTTCATGATTTTTTTCTAGAACCATTCTGCAGGAGAAAAGGAATAAGATGGTGGAAGCAATCCAGGGCAGGATAAGTAATAGGACAAGGACGCAAAAAAATTGAGTGTGGAGGATAGTATAGTATAGGGTTGAAATGATTCTCAAAGGGATTGAGATAGGGAAGGGAGGAGAGTATAGTGTATAGTCAGTGTAGGGATAATGGCCTGGGAAAGAACTGAGGGGTGGAAATATTAGAGGTCACAAGGAGGACAAGAATAGGGCTAGAAGTCCTAAGAAAGAAGAAAACATGGAATAATAAAGAATAATGATCAGATTAAAGAAATTTCAGAGTTCATGAACAGGAAATGGAATACTATGGGCAATATCAAAGGTACAACTATCTGTGGGCAGCTGAGGGGAAGTGTAGGAGCAGGTCATGGCAAATAAATAGATTGAGGAATTGGAAAGTTTGGGTACTTGAAGGGGCATCAGTGTGTTTAGTATGAGGGCAACAGTTGAGAAATTAGTTTCCTTATTTCTTACAGACAGGTAGGGCACACTAAGTGTGTTGCATTGTAGGTGCATTGCAGATACTGTCAGAGTAGGTTGATGTGCTGGCCAGTTGCTGAACCACTCTTCTTTCCTTTTTATTCTTTTTTACAAAGTATGCCTCACTCAGTAGGAGGAAAGGTGTTCGGAAATGAGTGTTATAAAGACAAAAGACACCAATACATTTCTAAAATGTTTTTTGAACTGTTGAATCCTGAGGATTGATTCTCTTCTTAGGTATCCTATGCCCACAAGTATCCATCCTACCCATGCATATAACAAAAACTAGGGCGCTCCTCTTGGTGGGCTCTTTTGGCTCAGTTCCAGAGGATTACTTCCTTAATCACTGAGCTTGCCTATTTTTGTCCTACTCTTGGGTTGTAGTTGCAGATTTGGTATGAAGATCCTTAGCACCGTAGACCCTCAAGCATTCGTACACTGTTAACAGATGGGTTTTCCATTTTTAACATATGCAATGTACACAATACAGGCCCTCTGAGATTCTATTCCATGCATATAGTTTTTTTTGTAGCAACTACTTATTATTCTTGTAGCATCTCAGTAACAAATGCCATCCAATATTCAAATTTCTTCTCCCCTTCTCTGAGAATAATCACCAACTTCCTCTAGAGCCTAGCTTCCCAAAGTGGGGGGAGCGGTAGTAGCCTCAGGTACAGTTGGAGGGCATTCAATAAAAAAAGGGGGCTGTGGAAGCATAAGGAAAGAAGAGAAGGAAAATTTGAAAAACCATTTGTACATGTTTCATCTGTTATGTTATAGAGTTAAAGTCATACTGATTATGTTATTTTCAAATAAACACACAAAATACAAGTTATAACCAACCAGTGGTCAAGTCCCTGACAGGTCTTAAGAAGTAAGTGTTGGCAGGCAAGCATGTTGTGCATTTTTGGGAAGTCCAGAACACATCAGCAGGAAAATGTGGGTGTAATGACTTGTTTACAATACAATACTATATGGTTACATGATATAATATTGTATCATCAAAATTTCAATGCAGGAAAAAGCCACAAATTTACAATAAATTATTAAATTTAAGATGCATCATTTTAAAATATTTTATATTTTTTTAAATAATACAAATTTCAAAAAAAAAAGTTTAAAGGGTTAAAGAAAGTAGATTTCCAGGGAGGCACCAAGCAATTTTTTTTTAAAAAGGAGGCAGTAGGCGAAATAAGTTTGGGAACCACTGGAGAATTCATTCACACCATAAGATTTATGAATACCATTGATATTTCATTTTTCAGTTGTGTCCAGTTCTTTGTGATCCTATTTAGGATTTGCTTGGCAAAGATACTGGAGTGGTGTGCCGTTTCCTTCTCCAGCTCATTTTACACATGAGGAAACTGAGGCAAACAGGGTTAAGCGACTGGCATAGCTAATAAGTGTTTGAGACCAGATTTGAACTCAGGGAGATGCCTTCCTGACTCCAGGCCCTATACCACCTAATTGCCCCAATATGAATGTGAATTTTGAATAAGCTAAATATCTTTACTGAAAGATACATAATATCCAGTGGAAATCAGCAATTTTTGGTCTGCTAACTCCAATGTGCCACTTCACTAAGTATAGCCAGCCCTGAGCTTAGCCTTCTATATTCTGAGATGTGCTTGACACCTTTGATATCGAATATGCTATGATGCTCAGTAGAACACTATCTCTGGAGCCTAAGGTGTTTTATAACTAAACAAAAGATTGGATGGAAAAATACTGGCAGTGTTCTAGTAATATCTGGTTCATAGGAACATAGATTTAGAACTGGAAGGGACATCAGAAGTCATCTAGTTTCCTCATTTTACAGATGAGGAAAATAAGACTCAAAGAGATGAAATGATTTATTTGCCAAGAGTCACATAGGTGGTAGTTAGCATATCTTGGATTTGAACCCAGGTTCCCATATTCCAAATCCAATGTACCACATTGCCTCTCTATCAATGACAGTGGAACCAACACATTTGTGAACTTGAACATCACAGCCTTGATGTGTTGCATGAGGGACTAAAAGTTGCACCAAGGCGAAGATGGGAAGACCAGCTAACCTGGGCTAAGAGGAGAAAAGAGAATTTCCCACTGGAGGTGATAATTTTTAAAGTTTGAGAGATTCATTCTTTTTTTATCTTTTCCTTTCAAAATTTCTTTAAGCTTTTATTTATTTTATTCTGAACTTAAGAAATAAAACAAACATTTCCATAACATAGTAGAATAGATTAAAAAAATGATTGTACATAAAACTGCTAATCTATTATGTACAACTTGCTGTTCCTGTTAAATATATAATAAAATTATCATGTAACTTTCTTTTTCTCCTGCTTTTTTTCTCCCCCATAAATGGCTACCATTAAACACAAATATATGTATATATGTAAAACCATTCTATACATACTTCTGCTTATCAGTTATCTCTGGATGCAGATAGCATCTTCTTTCATATGTCCTTTATAGTTAATTTGGGTATTTATAACAGTCAAAATTATTTAGTCACTCAAAGTTGTTCTTAAAACAATATTGCTGTTACTGTATACAATGTTCTCTTGGTTCTGCTCATTTAGCTCTTCGTTATTTCATGCAAATCTATTCATGTTTTCTAAGGTCATCAAGTTCATCATTTCTTACAGCACAGTAGAATTCCATCGTAATCATATACCACAACTTGTTCAGCCATTCCCCAGTTGATGGGTATCACTATAATTACCAATTCTTTGCCACCACAAAGAGAACTGTTATAAACATTTTAGAACATATAAGATCTTTTCCTTTTTTTCTAATCATCTTTTTGTTTTTCCAAATGACTTTGTTATTATTTTTCTAATTCAGTAAAATAATTTTTTGGCAATTTAATTGGGATGGCATTGAATATATAAATTAGTTCAGGTAAAATCGTCATTTTAATTATATTGTCCCTGCCTACCTATGCATAATTAATATTTGTCCAATTATTTAAATCTGATTTTGTTTTTATAAAAAGTTTTTTATAATTTTGTTTATATAGTTCCTGAGTTTGTTTTGGCAGGTGTACTCCTAGATATTTTATACTGTCTAGATTTATTTTAAATGGAGTATCTCTTATTGTCTCTTCTTGCAGGGGTTTATTGGTGATATATAGAAATGCTGATGATTTATGTAGATTTACTTTATATTCTGTTACTTTGCTAAAATTATTGTTTCAGCTAAGTTTTTAGTTGAATTTTGGGCATTTTCCAAGTTTATCAGCATATTGTCTGCAAAAAGAGATAGTTTTATTACCTTATTCCCTATTCTGATTCCTTCTATTTCTATTCTTTCTCTTATTGGTATTGCTAGGATTTCCAATATGATATTGAATAATATTGGTGCCAGTGGCATCTTTGTTTCATACCTGATCTTACTGTGAATGCTTCTACCTTATCCCCATTACAAATAATGCTTGCTGATGATTTTAAGTAAAT